CCTTTCATGAGGCAGATATACCTTGATTCTAATAAACAGACAAAATTAAAAGGTCAATCACATTCCCAAGCAAAGACAAAAAACTTTAAATAAAATATTAGTAAATGGATTCTAGCATTGTATTTAATTACATTAATATGTATTAATATATTTAAAATTATTAATAACACACAATTATATTGTTAATTATTTAAAAACACAACTTTATATAAAGAGAGAAATATATACACACTTCAACACATGCAGAACAAATATTTTGTAGACTTCAATAACTTTTTCATGATTAAACTGATAGCTAACAAAAAAAGAAGGGAACTTTCTTAAACTAATAAAGGTTATCAACCAAAACTGTACAGCAAATATTATATTCCATGATGAAATTCAGAAATACTCCTGTTTAAGTTCTGAACAAAGGATGAATACCCATTATAATCACCTCTGGTTAATTTTGTTGTAGAGGATATTAAACAGTACAATAAGACAAGGCATAAAACGAGTAAAGGATTGGGAAGAAAGAAACAGGACTGTAATTATTCGTAGATGATGTGAGTTCAGCAATGCTGATGGATTAAAATATCAACATGCATATATAAATAACATTCTTATACATCAGCCACAAACAATTAGGAAAATGTAATTTTAAAATAGATTCCATTTACAACAGCAACAACAAAAAACAAATGCAACTAAGGACCTAGGAATAATCTAACAATAGATATACACGACTCTATGAAGGAAAATTATAAAAATATATTGTAAGACTAAAAGAAAAGTGAAATAAATGAAGATATATGTTTATTCATTAATTAGAAAGTTTAAAATCATAAAGATCTTAGTTATCATCAAGTTAATCTATACATTTAATGCAATTTTAATCAACAAGTTTTTAACAGAACTTGCCAAGTTAATTCTAATGCATATGGAAAAGTAAAGAGTCAAGAATAGACAAGAAGCATTTTTGAAAGACATGAACTATCAAGAATAGACAGGTAGACTTGAACAAATGGAAAGACATCTTCTGTTCTTGGACAAGGCAACTCAATATTATAAATATGTCAGCTCTCCCTAAATTAATTTATATATTTAGGACAATCTCAATGAAAATACCAACAAGCTTCTTCATGAAGTTAGATAAGCTAATATTATAGTTTATATAGAAAAACAAACATGTAACAATAGCCAAGACACACTCAAAAGAAAAATCAATTTGAGGGATGAGTCATATATCAGTCATTAAAACATACTATAAGTTCTCTATAATTAAAAGCTTGGTGCTAGTACAAGAATAGACAAATAGACCAGTGGAATAGAATAGAAAGCTTAGAAATAGACACAAATTCATCTGGAAATGTAATATGTGATAAAGGTGGGATCTCAAATGACTGGTACAAAAATGGACTTTATCTTATTTTATTTATTTATTTATTTATTTTTTTTTTTGAGACGGAGTCTCGCTCTGTCGCCCAGGCTGGAGTGCAGTGGCCGGGTCTCAGCTCACTGCAAACTCTGCCTCCCGGGTTTACGCCATTCTCCTGCCTCAGCCTCCC